TCTATCGTTTGTCCTTTATTTTTCTATCTTCTGTAACTCTCGTCTCTCCACCACCACAATGCGGACGTTGTCGGTTGTCCACTCAAGCTATGAGATTGGGACAAATCTGAGAGAAGTATTTCTCTTTTTCTGCCTGATTTTTTTACTTGTTTTTGCCGGTTTTGTCCGGTTCAACCGCGGTTTGTTCAATTTTTATCCATTTGCCCCAGTTTTTCATCATTTTCGAGGTTTACCATTGAACCGAACCGTCCAAGCTATCGGTTCCTGGTCAAACCGGTCGGACCAGCTGATTTGGTCCGGGTGTCAAAACATTGGTTGTGGCCACACATCATCTTTTTTTATATTTATCTCAAATTGGAAAAATATAAGTGAAAAATTGGCGGATGAAGAAAATAAAAAGATAAAATGGGGTGGAATATTAAAAATGAAAAGGAAAATTTTAAAACAAAAAGTACTATTCGGGTTATTGTAGGATCGACCTAAAGTTAAATCCTTTTATATATAAGATGTATCTCTAATCTCATATATATTACTGTCCGTCGAATTTTTTTTGTGTTTTTTTTCCTTTTTGGAATATTGTATTCTATGTAAATATGGACAAAAATAAAAAATAAAAATATGACAGTAAACCTCGAAAATAATGAAAAACTGGGGCAAATGGATAAAAATTGAACAAACCGCGGTTGAACCGGACAAAACCGGCAAAAACAAGTACAAAAACCAGGCAGAAAAAGAGAAATACTTCTCTCAGATTTGTCCCAATCTCATAGCTTGAGTGGACCATTGAACCGAACCGTCCAAGCTATCGGTTCCTGGTCAAACCGGTCGGACCAGCCGATTTGGTCCGGGTTTCAAAACATTGGTTGTGGCCACACATCATCTTTTTTTATATTTATCTCAAATTGCAAAAATATAAGTGAAAAATTGGCGGATGAAGAAAATAAAAGGATAAAATGGGGTGGAATATTAAAAATGAAAAGGAATTTAAAACAAAAAGTACTATTCGGGTTATTGTAGGATCGACCTAAAGTTAAATCCTTTTATATATAAGATGTATCTCTAATCTCATATATATTACTGTCCATCGAATTTTTTTTATGTTTTTTTTCCATTTTGCAATATTGTATTCTATGTAAATATGGACAAAAATAAAAAATAAAAAATAAAAATATGACAGCTGTGGGATTTGAACCAACGCCCTTTCGGACCAGAGCCTAAATCTGGCGCCTCAGACCACTCGGCCAAACTGTCAGATGTTGTATGGAGCTTGTACGTGTTATTAGATGCATTTGTGCTTCAATTAGACATTTTCTTTTTGTTGGCGCCGTATAATATACAATTGTTTAATATGAATTACTGTTGGTCATTATAACTTCTTGAATCTTAATTCTAATTTTATAATTAATCTAGTGATTTTAACTAAAATTAAATAAAAATCTAAACTTTACTTATGAGAGTTACAAAATGCATTTTCTCCTCCCAATATCTCTCTTCTCTAATTTTCTCTCTAGCAGGCGTCGCCCTCTCTCTTTTTTCCTGTCAATGAATCCGTCTTTATCCCTTCGTCATTTTATTGCCCTCGGTTCCACCTACGCCCGCGGCCCGCCGCTGCAGCTCTTACCTCAGCCACCACTGATGTCGTGCTCCGCCTGCCGAGATTTTATTTCACCGTTGGCGATATGTGCCTCAATCACAACCGCCCTCCACGTTCCATTGCCCCCATCCTACATCTAACAATGTTTTGCCGGTTACATATACCAAGGTTTCCGATTTCATGATTAGATTTTCGATTACGCCATTAGCGAAGCTTATCCACGCCGCCATCATCTCCGCCCTAATGTTGCCATCGTTTTGCTTCTTCTTTTTTTATTTTTTTCTTTTTTTCTTTTTTGCTGTTGAAATTGTGTTGGGTATCTCGCACAGGAAAATAGTTGTTTTCGTCACGTTTTTTAGTTGTTTTCGAATTTTGCTATTTGTTTTAATTGGTTTCGAATTCTTCTATTTGTTTTAGTAGGTTTAGATAATTTATAGTTGGTTTTGATAGTTTTGTAATCGATTCCAACATGTTTGTAGTTAGTTTCGATAATTTTATAGTGATTTCGATAATTTATAGTTAATTTTGATAATAGTTGATTTAAAACTGGTAAACCTTGAATACTATTTTTTTTTAGTTGTTTACCATAATTTTATAGTTGATTGTGAAAAAAAATACAAAAATGAAAATTTTAGTTGATTAAGAATTTTTTATAATTGATTATGGGAAGATAACAAACATAAATTGTAAATAAAAAAAAATATTCACAATCAAATAAAATGTTTAAAAAATAAACGTTGATTTCAGAATTGTTTTAACTGATTTATAAAAAAACGGAAAAAGCTGAAAACAAAAAGATTAAAAAAATTATTTTTTAATCGATTTTTTTTTAAATTATTATTTTTTAATAATTTAATAAATAAAAATTTGGAAATTAAAAAATAATATTTATATAAATGTAAAAAGGAATCAAGTAATGAATAGTGGGTAGTGAAAATTGACTAATGGAGAGGGACAAACTTGGAATATGAAATAAACTCGACCTACTTTTTGTTTTTGAAGAAAAAATAGAGCTTTTATTTAGGCAGAAGCCAGACCATGCGGAAGGAAAAAACCTTCTTTACAAACCGAACCAAGTTTAGTGGCAATGTCATAGTTTTATTCTAAATTAAGAAAACTAATTTGAATGAGTTAAAATCTATTTTTTCTTCTAAATAAACATCTTATTTCATTTTTTTATTCCAATTTGTAACACTATCGATTTAATAGCATAAATGAGATTGTATTAAGTCACGTATTTGTTTATATTTGATTGAGTATTTTTTGTATTTTTCAATAGTGAAGTTTGTTAATCTACATAATTAATAATAGATGTTTGGGGATATTGCATCGCAGTTCTTTATACTTTTTAAACTTTATTATATTAATTTTCTTATTAATTTATTTAACATTATTTTTATTTTTATTTTTTGAAGAAAAGAAAAGCATATTATTAAACATTATCTGCTAAAGCAGATGGGAGATTAAAGTCCTCCATAACACGATTACATTGAATCTTAGCAAGATTACGAGCTAAACAATTGCCCGACCGTTTGATATATTGAAATGAGCATGAATCAAAAACCTTCTCAAGAGAGATACACTCCTCCACGATCGTTCCGTATGGCGATCCCTCACTGTCTTTGTTTCCCAATGCATGTATAAGTTGAATGCGATCTCCCTCAAGAACAATATTCCGCCAGCCCATTCCCTTCGCCAAGTACATCGCTTTCAATGCCGCGACGGCTTCCCCCTTCACCGGCCTCAATTTACGAGGGATCGTCTCCACTTTCCACCCCAAACAATTCCCTGAACAATCCCGAGCGACAGCCGTTGCGGAAAAGAAATTCTTGTCCGTCGGAAAGCCTGCGTCAAAGTTGAGTTTCACCCTTTTATTATCACGGGATTATTAGTGAGAACCCCCTAATACATTTGCTTATAATATGAAGGTGGATCCAACCATTTTTCTAATATTAGTGAAACCCCCCATCTTCATCGCCACCGCCTGCCCTGAAAATCGTAGCAAGAGGCGATGACTTTGACAACAGCCTCAAGGACCTGCTCATGGCAAAATTCCGTTTTTTCACCGACTAGGGTTTCTTCTGCCGTTGAGCCGAAGACGGTTTGGACGAGATCTGCCCAGACGAGGTCTCGGTGTGGCGGCAGCGGCGGAGATGAAACAGAACCCCCCGACAGCTTCTCGAGGAGGTAGGCAGGGAACACCATTTTAGGCATCCGCAACGGCGATCTGATGTGGTAGAGTGGTAATTGGCGGTTGACGCAAGGGATTTGCGTCCTTTCTTCACATGAGAGTGATTGGCATGTAGAATTTGGGGAGTGGTTGAGACGGCGGCGATGGAACAAGTCACCCTCACAACCTTCGGATTTAACCCATGGTAGGTGGAGATATAGCCCTTTCTCGATGGATCTGCGAGTGTAATGTCCAGAATGTTGATTGAAATATAGTTGATTATAATTTCTCTTGAATTGAGATTTTTTATTTTATAGTTGATTTAGATAAATTATAGTTGTTTTCGATTTTTATAGTTGGTTTCGATAATTTTAAAGTTGATTTGATAATTTTTTAGTTGATTTCAACATTTTATGGTTGATTTTCGTTAATTTGCAGTTGATATAATTTTAGTAAACCTGTTAATAAAAATAACTATTTTTTGTGATTGTTGATTCGGGAAATAAACGAACAAAAAAAATAGTTGTTTTCAGTAACTTATAGTTGATTCTAGAAATAGTTGATTTTGGAAATAGTTGATTACGAAAATTTTATAGCTGTTTTCGGAATATTATAATCGATATGAAAAAAAAAACTGAAAAATAAAAATAATAAAATTGGATTTTTTTTAATTATTAATTTTTAAATAAATAAACGAATATGATAATTAAAAGAAAATAATGAAATAGATATTAAAGTATTGGAGAGTGAATAGTAAGGAGGGGTAAATTTAAGAATTAAAAAAAGTTGGACCTATCATTAATAAAGGAAATGGGACTGAACCCCTCTTTATTAAAAAAAATGCTGAGAGGGTTCTCACTAATAACCCCTATTATCATTTTACATTGTGTCTTGCCCATATATAAAATGATTGTTAGAATTTTTCATATAAGATAATATGATCCAATTGTTAGCAGCGTTGAATGTAGTGAAAGGTTTCAAGTTCAATTTCCAACTAATGCATTTTTTGGCAATTATTATTCATCATTGAGTTGACCCAGTTTCATCAAACGAAACTGGGTCACTGTGTTCACTCGGTTGCAATCTTTTAAACTTATTTAAAATAATTATTTACTAAAATATAGACAGGGGTAAATTAGACAATTCAATATTAATTTATTTATTATTTGTTTAGTAAAAACAAATAATGGAAATATACTTTGGTAAAATGCTTCATATTTTTTTAGCACTAGCCATGTTATTTTCTTAGGGTCCAGATCTAATCTTAGAAAATTAATTATGATTAAAGCATATCTCATATAAGTTTAGAACACGGGGTATCTCAGCCTAGACTAATCCTATACCATCTAACTTTAATTAATTTAATCATAACGTGTGTTGTTCGTAATCTATAAAAGCACAGATCTTGTAATTTGGAGATGGCATGAACTTTGAAGCTTTAATGAGAGTTCGGTGAGGAATTGCCAATTTCATGTACAATTTATCAATGTTTTTTCAATCATATATGTTTGTGGGATTTTGATCAAATAAACAATATGAAGGCAATAAAAGATTTGCACATATTTTAGAAGCAGAAGCAGTTGATGACCGGAGCTACTTTCCCCGTTGATCTCATTTGGTTCGCCTTGTTTTTCACGATTGACTCTTCCTTTTTACGTTTCGCCTCAACCTGCGCTCTTGCTCCGCCACCTATTTCATCAATCCTCGCCACCTTACTCTGGTAGTGTTTCCAGTTTCTTGATTTCCTTAGCTCCAATTCACCCTGCATTAATAACAATTCAATTGCTTCTTCTTATAAGTTCTAAATAATAATTGTTTTAAATACTCAAAAAAAAAAAGGAAAAGGGAAAACCTTTTTCCTTTCCATTTGATGTTTCTCTCTCAACTTCTTTTCATTTTCCCATGCAAGAATCTCCAACGTCATCTTCTCGTACCTAGAAACTTAGTCGAAAAGGCTCATGAGTTTTCAAATAGACAAACAAAATATCAAAAAGAAATTGCTTCTTCCTTCCAAATATTCTATCATCAATTTTTTTTCTACCCTAGTTTGTGTTTTATGTATTTCATATATCGATCAATGATATGCGCTGCCTATTATGTTGTATATTCTTAATTTCCGAGACCATGTTTAATTGGAAACAAATCATATACGTACCGTTTTCGAATCTTTGCAATGTGAGCTCTTTCCCAAGAATCTGCTTTGGCATCCGAACGTCTGAGTTCCATAAATGAAGGTTGCTTTTGTCTTTGGTGATCAGCAAAAGAAGGCGCGGGCGGCCTCATAAACGATGTACTCCTAGTATCTTTTATAGATGCCTTCTTCCTAATAGAACCTTCAACTATACCAAATAATATTATGGCACCTGTTCATTATAATATAACATATATATATATATATATATATATATATATATATATATATATATATATATATATATATATATATATATATATATATATTCCATTGTAATTGGAAGCTGGGAATTAGCGGTTTCCTCGAGGGAATGTATGGCATGTGCAGAAGCAGCAATTGCCGTATTAGCGACATCGCTATCGTCGGAGTCGTAACTGCTGCGTCCTCCTATCATTTGATTTATTTATATACTCAACAATTTTTTTGCAATTCTTTACCTGCATGCATGCCCAAAAGAAACTAACAAAATGAAGAGATATTATTAATATTGAACTTTTGCCTGAAGAATATATATTGAGAAATGCGATTTCCTTACCATTTAATAACGTTATTCTTGATTCTTGTTTCTTGATGCTTAACAACTGTGTCCAATATATATTATGCAAAAAGAGAACAAAGTTGCAGGTCTTATTATGAAAAGTGCAAATAAAGTTTGCCTGTATATGTTTGAATAGGCAAAACTATCAAAGAAAGCAAAGAATTCTTTTTCTTTTAGTCTCCCAAAACTCAGGTGGTCCAAGCCATCTTTCTCTGATCCTTTACAGGTAGTTCAATATTAATAAATACATTTTATGAAATTTTAATGGATGCATGCTTGTGAAACACCATATTCTAATTACTTTTCAAATATTCTCCTTTGAAGCAGGGGCGGCGAGTCCATCATTGGGCAAGGATATTTCCCTGTAAAATTTAGCTCATCCAATTTTTATTAATTAGTTCACTCTAAATTATAATTAATGCAAAAAAGTCCCAATTTTTATTAATTAACCCACCTAAGTTTTAAATTAATGCAAAAGCAGTCCAAATTTTTATTAATTAGCCCACTCAAAATTCAAATTTACACAAAAAAAATCTCTAATTTTCTTTTTTACTTTTCCAATTTTTTGATTTTGTCAAAAAAAAAATGCAAAAAAAAATTCGGAAACACTCCCTCCGAAATCTTTAAAATGTTAAGCCCACTGCTTTGAAGTCATGTATATATTCAATGCTTGCTGCCAAAGTTGCATATTAATTAATTATCTACCTCCAAAATATGGTTAGAAACTTGGGTAAATGGCAAAAAGAGCCATGACATGGCACTTAATTAAGAAAGGGACACCCAATTTTTTTGTTTTCCAAATAAATCTAACTCATTCAAACTTATTTGAAAATAAGAAAAACCCTTTTATATATTTCAAATTTACCCTCAATTCCCTAAAACTCTATTCAACTCCAATTTCATGATTTACACCCCAATTTAGCCCAATTTCACCAATTAACCAATTTTGATTCTTATTTCAATTTTGACCCGCCACCATAGGTTAGCCACCGTTAACCGCCGTTCTCCGGCAATGACTTTTTTCTTTTTTTTTTCTTTTTTTTTCTGAATTTTTTTATTTCTTTTTATTTTTCTTAAAAAAAGGATTTTAATTAATATTATTGTATTGGCAGCTAAATTACTGTCTCGGACAGTTATTTAACTATGAGAGACACTAATTTTTTTTTTAAATTTTGTTCTTTCTTAAAAAAAAATTTTAATTAATATTATTGTCTTGGCTGCTAAATTATTGTCTCCAAAAGTAATTATTTACTTTTTTTCCTGAATTTTTTTTCCGGCTGGTTAACCGCCGGTCTCTAGCGTTGACCTTTTTTTTTTTTAATTTTTTCTTTTAATTTTTTTATTTCTTACAAAAAAATATTTTAATTAATATTACTGTCTTTGCGGCTAAATTACTGTCTTCAACAGTAATTTAACCGTCGGAGACAGTAATTTAACTGTCTGAGATAGTAATAGTACTGTCTGAAACAATAATTTTACTGTTCATTTAATTTTATCATCTTGACCTGCACATTTGCTGTCTTCGACCATAATATTAATGTCTCCGACTGTTAAATTACTGTCTCATGCAATAATATTACTGTTTGAGACAATAATATTAGTAATATTATTGTTCGTGAAAGTAATATTCATAATATTACTGTCCCAAACAGTAATATTATTGTATGAGACAGTAATTTTACTATTTGGAACACTAAAATTACTGTTTGTCACAGTAATATTAGCAATATTACTGTTTGAGATAAAAATATTAGTAATATTACTGTTTTGGTATTCTTTTGGTATTCAATATTACTATTCCAGACAATAGTTATGTTGTTAACACAATAATTTAGAGAGAAAAAAAAAGTCAACGCCGGAGACCGGCGTTCGGAAAAACATTTTAGGAAAAGAAAAAAAAAGTCAACACCGGAGAGTTGCCCGGTGAACGCCGAAATTTGGCCTAAAAAATTTAATTTTCTGAAAAAAAAAATTTTTTTTTTCAAAAAACTATGAAAATGGGGATTAATGTGATAGAGTTGTTCAAATCCGTGGTTAATGTGTAATATTGAGGAAGTTAGAGTATAATGAATGGAATTGAGAAAAAATATATTATGGAGGTTAATTTAGACAAAAGACATGAGTATGGGATTGTTTGCAAGACTATTTTTTGTCTGGACCTATTTATGTTTAAGTCCCTTATCATGAGCTTCTTTGCCATTCGCCCTAGAAATTTTTGTGACTTTATATGGGCAAATGGCAAATAAGCCCATGATGAGGGGACTTAATTAAAAAGGGACATCTAACCTTTTTATTTGTCAAATATTTCCAACTCATTAAAACTTATTTGCAAATAAGGAAAATCCTTTTATATATACCAAAATTACCCCAATTCATTGAAACCCAATTCAACTCATATTTCATGATTTACACCCCCATTTAGCACAATTAACCAATTTTGACCATAATTTTAATTTTGACACCAATTTTACCTGCCACCACCGGAGACTTCTGGTCTCCAACGTTGACATTTTTTATTTTTTTTGAAATTTTTTTTTTCTAATTTTTTTTTTCCGGTAGGTCAACCGTCGTTGACCGCCGGGTCTCCGGCTTTGACTTGTTTTTTTTTTTTTTTTTTTTTTTAAATTTTTTTTGTAATTTTATTTTTTTTCTTAATTTTTTTTAATTAATATTACTGTCGTGACTGCTAAATTACTGTCCCCAGCAATTATTTAACTGTTGGAGACAGTAATTTAACTGTTAATTAACTTTTTTTTTCTTTTCTTTTACTTAAAAGAAATATTTTAATTAATATTACTGTCTTGCCTGCTACATTACTCTCTCCAGCAGTTATTTAACTGTCGGAGATAGTAATTATACTGTTAATTGAATTTTTTTTTTCTTTAGAAAAACTTTTCTAATTAATATTACTGTCTTGGCTGCTAAATTAGTGTCTCCAACAGTTATTTAACTATTGAAAACAGAAATTTAACTGTTAATTGACCTTTTTTTTTTTTTGAAATTTTGTTTTGTCTTAAAGAAATTATTTGAATTAATATTACTGTCTTGGTTGCTAAATTACTATCTCCAACAGTTATTTACCTATCTGAGACAGTAATATTACTGTATAAATTAATTTTATTGTTTTCGCATGCATTTTTGCTGTCTTCGACTGAAATAATACTGTCTCCGACCGTAATATTACTGTCTCATGCAATAATATTACTGTTTGGGACAGTAATATTAGTAATACTAGCATTTTTTCCCCGTGCGATGCACGGGAATTATTTCAAAAGTGAAAAAAAATACATTTAATACATAATAAGAAAATATAGTACATTAACATAGTAAAATTTAATAATGTAGTATTATTCATATTTAATGTAACATTAGTTTTTTTAAATATTACATATTAAGATTTATAATCCAAATATATAGGTTTAGATTTAAAAAATCGAATTTCTATCTTTATCTATTAAGATTTGAGATATATTGATGGAAAATAGGAGATATAATTGTTGAAAATTGGTACCGAAAAAATATTAAAAATAAATAATTACAGAAATACCATTAGGGTTGCTCATCGTTTCTTATAATAGATTACTGTTTGGGAAAATAATATTTATAATATTACTGTCCCATATATAGTAATATTATTGTATGAGACAGTAACTTAGCAGCCAAGACAGTATTATTAATTAAAATATTTGTTTCTAAGAAAAAACAAAATTCCAAAAAAAAAAGAATCAAAAAAATTAAAAAGTCAACATCGGAGACCGACGGTCAACGGCGGTTGATCGGCCGGAAAAAAAATTCAGAAAAAAAAAAAGTTTTCAAAAAAAAAAAAAAAAATCAATGCCGAAATCTGGCCGGAAAGAAATAATTTAGAAAAAAAATGATTTTCTGAAGAAAAAAAAATTTCAAAAAATTATTAAAATGGTAGTTAATGTGATATATTTATTTAAATCCAGGGTCAGTGTGTAATATCAAGGAAGTTAGAGTATAATGAATGGAATTGATAAGAAATATATTATAGAGGGTATTTTAGACTATTAAGGAAGTTAGAGTATAATGAATGGATTATAGAGGGTATTTTAGACTAAAGACATGAGAATGAGTTTATCTGAAAAACTGTTTTTTTGTGGACCGATGTGCATTTAATTCCCTTGTCATGTCCTTTTTTGCCATTTGGCCTTATATCTAGTTATCTCAACATTTACATTTTATTGGGTACACTATTCAGTTTACCCAATCAATTTGTATATTCTTTTATAATATTGCATTCGGACAGAGAATAATAAAGTTGTTTTGATTAGGGGTGGTAAACTAGACGAGCCGACTCGTGAGCTTGATGAGCCGGCTCGAAAAAAGCTCGAACACGGACTCGAGTTTTTCGAGCTCGAGCTCAAGCTTTCTGACGAGTCGAGCTCGAGCCATTTTTAATTGTTCGTGAGCTCACGAGCTGGCACACGAGCCTTATTTATTATTATTATTTTTATTTTTTATATATTATTTTTTATTTAAATAATGTATATAAAATATTATAGAAATAAATAAAAATAAGATTTAAATATTAAAAAATATATGTACTTACAATTTTTTGTTTTGTAATTTTTTTATAAAAATAATTTTTAATAATAATTAAAAAATAATTAAAAAAACAATATGAGCTTGGCTCG